TGCTGTTTACGACAATATTTTTTTAACAAACACTAGATTAATTGTATTTTGTGACTATAACACGGCAGTATTGTGACGACCCCTCCACACCACGTGGGGTGCCGTCTGGTTGTGTGTGCATTTTGTGTGTGATTGCAGGTTCCAGCTGCAGCTGTCTGAGGAGCTACACCTGCCGGAAGCGCTTAAAGGCCCTGACACACCAAGCAGTCACCAGAGAACTCGCCGACGCCGACTGTTGCGTCGGCGTGTTCTCCTGCGTCTTGGCCATGTGTCGCACTGGAACAAACTGCAAACACTTCCGCCGAGTACGTACGAACTGCGCATGCGTGAGTGGCAATAACTCTCCTTACCAGCAGGCGGCGGTAGTGTGTATTCGTCATTAAAAACAGGCAACAACCAGAAGACAGAGAAGAAGAACAGACTACGTGATATAAACAAACAACAAATAGCATGTGTGTTCCATTTTCACTCTTGTCCATCGAAAACATGTTTTGTGCGGTACTGGAGCTATCAGCCATTGGAGTGTTGCTTGTGGAAGACATTCTCAAGCAACCGTTTCGCTTCTCATGCACTGATTCGCTAGCTGAACAGCCAATCAGAGTGATTTCTTTGTCCGACTGCCTGTGGCCGATTCAACATGTTGAATCGGCCGTGCGTCGGCCATGAAAGGCCAAATAAGGCGTGTCACGGCCGACGGTGCGGGACACACCAAATTGAGTTTGGGCGATAGGGCACGCTTCGTCGTCCGACTAACGAAAAGGGCGAATTTCTGCCTGGTGTGTCAGGGCCTTAAGAAGAGCCAAGCCAGATATGTCGGGGGGACTTCTCTGGGCTCTCTCTCCGGGCCAGCCGCGGGGATCTATTGCTGGTGCCGCTTGGTTATTTTTGTTTATTGAAAATAAACGTCTTCATTATTCACAACCCTCGTCTCGTCTCCCAGCTTTATGTTACAGTCCACGAGCCGGGTTGTAACATATGGAGGCTCGTTACTTTGGACCTAGGAACGTTTGCAAACTGGATGTCCGTTGTGGGGACGGAGTTTGCGCAGCTGTTGTCACTGAGTGCAGCTAATTGTTTGGGAGTAGCGTTACGGGGGCTAGGGAATGCTCCGGTTTTTGGACACAATTAACATGGGATCACTCCGGTCAATGGACGTACTTCGTCTCACTGGAATATTAATGGCCAGATTGAATACAACATCAACCCAATTTCTCCGGTCAATGACAGGAGAGTTTTGAAAGTGACAAAACACTGTTCCACACATTTAAAAACACTTAATCAATGATTACCAGGGGTCCATGCACCTTCCCTGGCTTGTAAAATGTGGTGATGCGCCCTGGAGGTATCCTACTATTTAAAACATGTATACACTCATGTACACCCTTCATAGGGTTCCCTAACACAATGCACACTTACATAGGCTTCTATCACGGTATTCCCCTATCTCAGGGGGAAACAGTTGGAGGGGACACCGTAGGGAGGTGTCAGACTTTTTCAGTCAATAAAAACCTGAATGGGGTAGTTTTTCCGATTTCACAATTTTTACATAGGCTTCTTATCACGGGGTACTCCGCCTACTACAGTGGGACAGTTGAGGGGAACTAAGAGGTGGTGAGACTTTCAGTCAAATAAAAACCTGTTGGTAGTTTTTCCGATTTTCACAATTTTACATAGCGGCTTTTATCCGGAGTACTCCGCTATCTGCATCGGGATCGTTGAGGGAACGAGAGGCCTCGGGTCAGTTTTTGAATTTCAAACCATCTTGGTACGACCCCCCAGAGGCCCGTGTTTTACATAGGCTCGGTGCTCACGTGTATGTCGCTACTTAAGGAGGTTAACTTCAATGTGTCGGCAAAAGAAAAGACCAAGGAGAGTTTTTGCGCCCAAAGGCAAAGCAACGCTGTCATCGAACATTGACTTGCCAAAAAAAATCCCTGCCCTTCCCCTCCCAGACCTAGGGAGAGGCAACATGTAACCGTTGCCCCCCCCCCCCTTTCACAAGCCCCGAGCAGCGGGCTTCGCGGCTTCCACACTCGAAAAGCCGGGGAAGAGGACCCGGGAAGAGGGAACATTTGAAAGTCATTTGCAGGAAAAAACTAATAAAAATTGATATATTACCTGGCAAAAAGAAAGTAAAAAAAAAAGAAAGGATGCCACCCCGATACGGCCGTCCGGATACTCGAGTTTAAGCCGGGCCTAAGGAGGCCCAAACACACTATCCGAGGTATTTGACTGTCTCAGTAGGTATATAACAGCGAAAATCAGCGGTTTTTGATATATTACGTTATGTAATTTTATCATTTTCCATGTTAACACGAGGCGAAGGGCCCTTAAACTAATATATCCGGCTTTTTACTAATTTTAGAAATGCACCCCTTTTCACCAATTTTGCGGACTATTTCGTAATACGTCCTGGGGTCACTCCGAGGTCTGATACACGTAACACAGCCTCCGGACCAAGGTACTATTGTGGGTAGGTAAATTTGCCGTTTCCGGCCCGTAATTTTCGCGAAAATCCCCCTTTTGCACGGCGCAGGTGAAGCCAATTGTTTGAACTACCCGTTTTAACCTGTTTTCACACTTAATTCACAAAACGCCCTGGGGTCGCCCGAGGCCGATACACGAACAACAAACCCCGGACCAAGTAACTATTGTGGGTAAGTAAATTTGGGCTCGGCCGTAATTTTCGTGAAAAAATCCCCCTCTTGTCACCGGCCAGGGGAAGAATGTTGACTACCCGTTTACCCTGTTTTCACACTAATTTCACAAAACGCCCTGGGGTCGCTCCGAGGTCTGGCACACGAACCACAGCCCCACCGGGCCCAATTACTACCCATGGGTAGTAAATTGCGTTTTCGGCCGTAAATTTCGTGAAAATCCCCCTTTGTCACCGGCCGCAGGTGAAGCAATTGTTTGACTACCCGTTAACCTGTTTTCACACTAATTCGCAAACGCCCTGCGGGCGCTCGAGGTCTGGCACACGTAACACAGCCCCCGGGCCAATTACTACCATGGGTAGTAAATTATGCGTTTTCGGCCGTAATTTTTCGTGAAAATCCCCCCTTTTGCACCGCCGCAGGTGAAGCAATTGTTTGACCTACCCGTTTACTGTTTTCACACTAATTCACAAAACGCCCTGGGGTCGCTCGAGGTCTGGCACACGTAACACAGCCCCCGGGACCAAGTACTATTGTGGGTAGTAAATGCGTTTTTCGGCCGTAATTTTTCGGGAAAAATCCCCTTTGTCACCGGCGCAGGTGAAGCAATTGTTTGACTAACCGTTTTACCTGTTCGCCCCCTTTGCCGGCTCCAGCG